AAAAAAAAAAAAAAAAATCTAAGAACAAGGTAATAATTAGCCTTGGTATGAAATTTTAAGGTGTGTTCTTACAATTTTTTTTTTTTTTTTTTTTTTTTAAAGATGACCGGTAAGGGGGATTCCAACCCCTGACTTGGTGTTGTCAGCACCACGCTCTCCCAAGTGAGCCAACTATCGGTCCCTATATAGGGATCCGAACCCTCGGCCATGGTGTTATCAGCTTTATAACTTATTTGAACTACCTTAAGAGATGTGCTAAGTAGTCTTATCAGATGCCTTTAAGAAACTATAGCCCAGGGTAGGTATCACCCCTAGCCAAAAGGCCAAAATGTGGCATTCCACCAGAGGCCTTCCCTGGAGGCCTGTTTCTCAGCCATTCTCCTCATGTTGATAGAATTGCCCTTATTCCTGTAAAATTTCTCTCACTTTGAACTGATACCTATATCTTAGTTATCTTTGCTGTGTAACAGTTACCACCAAACTTAGCTGCTGAAAATAGTGTCTGTTAGCCCACACTACTGCTGAGGGTGAGGCATCTGGGAGTGGCTTATCTGGGTGATTGTGGCTCAGGATTTCATGAAACTGTGGTCAAGCTGTTGGCTGGGGCTACAGTCACCTCAAGGCCCAATGTGGGCTGGATAATCTGCTTCCTAGCTCCATCACATCCTTGTTGACTGGAGTCCTCAGTTTCTCTCTGACTGTTGGCCAGAAGTCTTCATTCCTTGCCACATGGACCTCTCTGTAGGCTGCCTGAGTGTCCTCAGGACATGACCGCTTACTTCCCCCAGAGGTACTGGTCTAAAAGAAAGAGAGAGCATCCGATACAGAAGCCACAGCTTTCATAACCTAATGTCAGTGACGTACGATCACTGCTGCCATATCCTATTGGTCACGCAGACTGACCCTGGTAGAGTGTGGGAAGGGGCTGCTTAGGATGTAAATGCCAAGAGGTGGGGACCACTGAGGGCCATCTGGGATGCAGGCTGCCACAGCCTAGACCCACTCTCCCCACCCTAAAAGACAATGGCAAACAGCAGTAAGTCCACAGCTTTGAAAGCAGAAGCTTCACTGACATCGCAGACTTCAGAGCACCACCCTTCACCTTCAGTAGAGCTCACTTGTCTCCTGGAAGGCCAAGCTTGCTAATTTGGTGTCAAAGAGAATTTTACATTTCATATTGTCTTTAAATAAGAGAAGTGAGTACCTGAAGTTTTATTAGAGTCAAACATTCTGAGTCATTATCTGATTTTCTTAAGAAAAATGTTAGATGAAAATTCCAGGTCAAATAAGGAAACTCCTGGGTTTCTTTGTCTCATTAATAGTTTATAAATAGAATCTGTTTGTCATGGCAGAGACCAATATATTACATAAAAGAAGGTACACAGTTGCTGGACAGCAAGCCTAGCTGGGCCTGCAGTTCTCCTTCTCATTTGTAGGTTATCAGAGAGCAAGTTGTAATGTCAGATTTATTCTCTCCTGGGCTCCAAAAATGAAAAATTTGGAACAGCAGATGACAGTTCGAAGACTTTTTTTGTTGATGCATTCTGAGCTCTAGGGCTCAGGAGACATCACTCAACCAGTTGTTCTTTGGATGTTGGGTTGTGTGGTTGCCACAGAGTTTTGCAACAGGGATCATGAGGGCCACAGGCGTTTTCTTTTGCTGTGTCATGGTTATGTCTGTGGTAGTGGGTTCAACTCAATCTGTTGCAGCTTGAATCAAAATCAAGTACAAATTTTTTCTCCTATTATTTCCAAGAAGGAAAAAAAAAAACAAAACAAAACAGGGCTTAAGCTGGTTAAGAGTATTTGTACAACTTTAAAAGT